TAAAACACTTGCTGTACATTAATTTTGACAACTACATGAATATACAGAACTGTGTTCAAGCAGAAATATGATGTTATAGCAATCAATGCGCCATGAGTGCAGATAGGTTTGTTTGCGCATCAATAATAAGGGACACATGCGCGCCTAGTCTATGACTCCTGTATGTCACTATAATAGTCTCTACTGGGCGGCGCTAGGGGCTAGCACCCCCATACATAAAAAAGATTAAATAAAATAAAAACATTTGACTCACATGGATAACTCGTGCAGTGCAATACGTGACGTGATTTGTGGTTATTCATAATGTCATAGCATTTTATTAAAAAAATGGATCGGTTCCTTGTGCCAAGCCTGCCCCCGACTAAAGATTTTTTTCCAGTCAACTAGTCACAAATTTATTTTAAGTTCTTTCCGCAGGAAAAAAATGCAAGGGATTGATCCATGTCATACAGTAAGCGTGATAATACTCCCAAACTCCTAAACACTTGAAATGAGCCTACATAGCGATTTTATTATTCATATAAAAAATAATCTATTCTGGACGGCGTTATAGAGGACTACAAGACTACAGAGGCACAATGTGTGAACCTACAATCCTTATCCTATATTATATATAATCATCCACGTGGACTTATGTATGACACTTACACCGTGTCTAGACCGGACGCGAGCAGAGAGACGCGTCGCGACAAAAGACAGCAGAACCTATTTATTATAATCAATACTGTCTACACTGAATGCGAAATTCCCAACAGCAAACGGATTCCCCGTTATTCCTGACGTAGTCCAAGCTCTTTGCAATGGGCGCTTTGTCGCTTCAAGCAGTCGCGTCCGTATAGTGTTGCGCTGCGCCGCATCCAGTGTAGGAAAAATCACTGATTATAATCAATGGGCTCTACTGTCTTTTTTTGCTTTCACTCGCGTCCTGTGTAAACACGGTGACATGCTAATCACTTTCACACCAAATATACTTCAAAACAAACACCAGAGACTGCTTAGACAAATGCTTCACATGCTGAGAATGCTAACCTAACATATAAGCATATAAACCATAAATGTTTAAGAATCACTTAGGCTACCTCTGTGCAATTCATGATCAGGTAGATCTTGAACCGCACGCTTACGCCAGAAAACTACTAATTGGCCAAAATGCTTCGTTTGACTTTTCGGAGATCATCTACTCTTCCCTGTGGATTACCTCTGACCTACTTTCTGTATGATCTGAATTTCTGCGTATTTAATTTTAGAATGTTGAATTTGATGTTCCGAATTTCCTCTTCATCTTGAAAACTTGAAGCTGTATTTTTTAAAACTGGACATTTGCTGTCTAAGATTTCAGAACAAAAAAATTGCTGTTTGAAAATACATGTCTATAAAACTCGGCCATAAAAACATTCAGTTGTGTTACATTTCAAATGTTTAATATTCAAAAAATAAAGTAAAAAATCAAATTCAGAACTATGTTAAATGACACATAATATTCAGTTTTATTAAATGACACTTCAAATTTACACAATACAAATTCAATTAGTTTTGTCATATTATAAACTCCATATTTGTGCGCAGCTTGTTACAGTACCCAGTTCTGATTGGCCAATCGCCGTTATTTAGTTCGTGAATTATCATACATAGAGAATTTTAACATTTCATTTGCATGATAAGTTTTACATAATACACATTATTAATCTAAAGGGGATGGTTAGGGGGGATGGTGGCTTTACAGAGGGGATGCTTTTTGTAATTTTTTTCAACCAGGGGGATGCCATCCCCCCGCAACCCCCCTAAATTCGAGCCCTGCATATACCTGATGCCATTGCGTGATTACATATCAAACTGGAGAATTAGTTATTTGAACCAAAAGTGAACTGTCTGAAAGAACCAGTTCGCAGAAAAGAATCAGCTTTCCCGTTTGCCTGAGGCTATGAATTAGCCTACAGTTAATAACATTGTAAATAATGATCAGCTTCTTGCACAGACCGATTGTTTCGCTTCATAAGACCTCTATATTTAGTCAGGAGCCACGGATATTAATTTTGCATTGCCTGATATTTTGTATGTGCCGGAAGCTGCTGATTGCATTTTATGAATCACCAAGGACCACGGTTTCAGTTTAAAAATCGGTTTAAAAATATTCTATACTGTTCTACTCAAGAAAAAGTCTATCTTAGATGGCCTGAGGGTGAGTAAATTAACAGCAAGTTTTCAATTTTGGGTGATCTATCCCTTTAAGACCTCACAGAATAATCCCTTCTCCTACCGTTAGCAATGTGACTGTTGCCTCCGTGCTGTATGACGTCACTAAGGCTGCGCTTGATCCGCTCATAGCAGGCGAAATAGAGTGCGTGTGCGGGACCGGCCCCCAGCACAGTGATATTGAGGCCCCTCAAGGGCCGAAGGAGGCCCTCTGTCCGCACAATCCTCTTCAGTGCACCGTACACACTGCGGTACTGAGCCATTGGGTCCGGCTGTAAACTCTGCATACGTGTCTGCGAACAGAAAGATAGCAGCATATAAGCCTATCAACCATAAAAAGAACAACACTTGATATGCAAAACTAAACTTACAGAAAAACATTTACAAACAAAGTTTAGGAACTAGACCAAATCATGAAAATCAGTTCTGCCATTGTGTAGGCAGTTTCGCCTCAAACAGTTTCTGATGTCATAGTGTTTTATTCAATTCCACCAAAAAAATATATAATTACAGAGACCCTAAAAATAGATATTTTCTGACAGAAACAAAAAGGATGGTTAAATTGTTAACACAAAAGGGAAGGAAATGCCATCAATATGTAGACATAGAGAGAAGCAGTCAATCTTTCTGCTTACCCAACATTTCGGCTCAATTATAAAAACATGTTTTGTTTAATGTGAATGATTTGGCAAGAATCCTCATAACATACACAGACTGAGGGGCACAGGAGCCAAACTATCAGAATAAAGCCTGATCCACAAACTGAAGCTTATTCTGCCCGAAAACCGCCCACTCAGACATGAAGAGACATCTGAGCAACAAAACCAACCAGTTTTTTGCTGCCAATACTTCTGGAGGAAGTATACTTTTATACTGGCTTCCCAGACTTTTTGACCACATATGAATATTACTAAATGTTTTAAAAATCATTCTGATTCAGACTAATTGTCTAATAGTTATTCTGAACATTTGGGAACAATTTCAAACGATTCACTGAAAAGAACTCATACAGTATAGCTTGTTAGAACATTTTTCTCTATACATCTGCAATATCTAACCATTACAGCATGTTAGAGTGTTTTATAACAGAAGGAGATCTAGACTGCAACATGCATATGATGTAAGATGATGGAGTGAAAGAATCATTGAAGTATGTCTATATAGTCCATGTAAAACAAGTTTAAACCAAACCAAAATACTTATTTTTCAATCATCTTTCTTTTCCATTCTTTGTCCCATTATCCTTCTAATTCTACCTCTTAAACCTAAACACTAGACAGGCTGGTGTGACCGGTTACAGCTTACTTTGAACAAGATACTATTACAGTGAATCACAAGGGTTTAATTAGCTCTTCTCTAACTAGAGAACTAAACAAACACCCAGATATGTTATTGCCCAAAACTTTCATTATAACATCCCTGTCATCAAACAGCAACAGCTTGAATATCCTGGAATAACAAGAGAGATCTCCCTGAAAACATTCATCAGGGTGGACTGAGTTAAACTGATTTAACTGTTCTGTAATCTCAACTCTTGCTTCATTATAACAACTAGGGCTGGGTAAACAATATCAATATCTCGATTATTAATCGATTCTCATTTTTACGGAACGATATTAATTCTTCCATCTCAAGAATCAATTAGTCTAACCTGTTTTCAGTTACTGGACGGAACATTGAAGGGCACTTCCCATCCAATATATCGCAATAAGCATTGTGCTTTGGTACTTTTAATATGAAAAAGTCTCAGATTTCAAATTCTGTCCATTGTTTTGCAGTATTTAAACAATAAATGCCGTTTTGGCACTGTTTAATGTGGAGTTACAGATCGCTGTAAGCGCCTCAGTTCAACAGACGCAGCAGCGCAATGCACACGTCAACTGATCATCTCCTCCACATTAATACCAGTTTCAGCACAAAATAAACATGACTAAACATCCGAAGGCAAGTTAAAAGAAAGAGTACAACTTTACAATCCGTATCCTGTCTCATGTAATCACTCAATCAGTGTTTCCTCCGCGCAAAGACATCATAACGGCTTGTAAACAATGTCACTTAACGTCACATTTACCTCAGAAAAAACATTTGGTGACCATAAACTAGGGCTGTGCAATTAATCGAAAAATAGTTTAGATCTCGATTTTGGCCTCCAAAGATTATGAAAATACAATAATCGAGATAAAACGCGTCAAAATGTAGCGCTTGGTGATTATTCATGTATACCTTCGTCGGTCATGTAATAAATGAACGTACTTTACGTAACGTAAACTGTAACGCTCTTAAGGGGTTTATCTTGCAATAATGACTGACGTATTGTACGTTTTCCACGTATTATTACACATGAACATGAAATATATGCAGACTGATATGAGAAACAAAACTAGCACAGATATGTAGGAAATAAGCTGAGCAAACAGCCATGGTAAGTTCGTTTGCTTTAGTTTAGCAGGAAGGTGGAAAGACTTGCCTTGTTGTAATCTAAATTTGCACCACTGACATTATATGAGCACTTAACAAACTGAACGGTTTACTATCAAGTAACTGTCACAGAGGAGAGGTGACAGTCACGACAGGAATTTGAGTGTGTGTTGTGCTCACGTGTGTGTGTGTGTGTAAATAACGGCCTGTTAATCAATTTCAAAACGTCCCGTCCCAAATGCAAAAGACACTCTTGCACATTCACACCCTTCTGGACGTGTGAGATTACGACCTCTGCCCTGGCCCACCCATCAGCCATGAGGAGTGACTCACACCAGCCCATCCGTTCCGGACCGATTACTGGTAATACTCTGTTACCGCCATCAGGCCCAATGTTTAAACCAGCTGTCAACTTTCACCTGCCACTGAAACTGCAGTTTATTTAGCCTACATACATATAACATTATTGGCTATTGGTTTAAATAATTGTTGTTTATGATAATGGTTTTAAAAAAATATTTTCAGCCTGCCAGTATGTCAGTGAATTTAAACTAATGCTTGCATTGAGAGTATAGGTGCGTGTGTGCGCGTGTATTTTGAAGGCCAAGTGCCACTAATGTTGTGTTTTAGTAATGTTAAATAAAGGAGTTAATATTTAAGTATTATTGTTATTTTTTTCCCGTGGTATCAAGTATCGTGTACTTTTAGTGTTATCAATACCGACTACTAGATTTTTGACATATAATTAATTTAAATATTTTAGCTCATTTAGTTATACACTACCAGTCAAAAGTTTGGAATAATTACGATTTGTAAATACTTTTGAAAGAACTCATGAAGAGAAACCGAAGTCATATCAAAACAGAAAACTGTTATTTTTAGACTTTAATATCTTGAGATACAAACTCGCAATCGCGAGAAAAAAAAAGTCAGAATTGGATGTTTATATCTCACAATTCTGCCTTTTTTTTCTCACAATTATGAGTTTATATCCCGCTTTTCTGACTTTTTTTATATTTCACAACATTACTGTTTTTACTGTATTTTTGATCTAATAAATGCAGCTTTGGTGAGTATTAGAGACTTTGTTCAAAATTATTCCAAACTTTTGACCGGCAGTTTATTTTAATTGGAAAAATAAAAATACATAGACATACACACATGTAAAACACTGTTTACTTTTTTTGTTAGCTACTTTAGTTACTTTTTATGGAATCCTGTTTCTGACACTGAATAAAAAAAAAAAAAAGTAAATGCTGACTTATCTCACAATTTCTGACTATCTTTTTCCTTGTAATTTCAAGTTTACATCTTGTAATTGACAGTTTTTCTCAGAATTGCATGATATAAACTTGAAATTGCAAGAAAAAAGTTAGAATCTTGATATAAACTCGCAACTGCAAAAAAAAGTCAGAATTGCAAGATGTGAATTCACAATTGCAAGAAAAAAAAGTGCAAGATACAAACTCGCAATTGGGAGAAAAAAGTCAGAATTGTGAGATATTATGAATTACCTTTTTCTTTATTTTCTTTTTTTATTCAGTGGCGTCAAACAAGCTTCCATAACTTTTAGTTTTATTATTAGAGTAAAGGGATACAAATGTCATAGGTATACCATAGTTAGACTATGGATACATATGCAAGAACTATGGAAAATATGCAGTTTTTTTTCAAAAGGGCAAGCACAAAGTATAATCAAGAGCTTTAAAGTCTAAGTTATATACCAAGCTAATAGTTTATGTACAATATGTTTGGTTCCACTGATATTTGAATGGAGAAATGTTTGCTCTTGATTTGCCTTAAAACATTCCAACAGGTGCCTATAAATTCTAAATAAAAATGTTAAATAGGGGTGCTCCGATCAGGATTTTTGAGGCCGATCACCGATCACAGAAAGCAGTATCTGCCGATACCGATCACCGATACCGATCTTTTTAAAGGGGTCATATGATGCGATTTAAATTTTTCCTTTCTCTTTGGAGTGTTACAAGCTCTTGGTGCATAAAGAAGATCTGTAAAGTTGCAAAGACTAAAGTCTCATATCCAAAGAGATATTCTTTATAAAAGTTAAGACTTGTCCACGCCCTCCTAAAACGCCTCGTTTAAACACGCCCCCACATGTCTACGTCACGATGTGCGAAGATTTGCATAACACCGCCCAAATGTTCACGCAAAGAAAGAAGGCGTAACTTTTATTCTCGATGTAGTTTTGTTGTTTCCGCCGCCATGTCGTAAAGACGCTGTCATGTGGTTGCCGCAAGCACGCCAGCCGCTCCTCCGTCGAATCCGCTGGCCGCGCCGTTCTCAAGTCCGCCGGCCGTTCCTTACTCTAGCCCCGCAGTGTGTGACGCTGTGTGACACATTTTATGGAGGACTGTTTCCTGAACCTGCAGTTCTGCATAGCCTACAATGGGTCTGTGCACAAAGGCTGTTCTATAAAGTGGGACAGTTCCAACTTTGCAAGGACAGTCTGGCGCTTCTGACTCACAGCCTGTAAGTACATTTTTTATATTAAAATAATTTGCCACTGATGATTCAAACGTGAGTTTTAAACAGTGTAGAGTAGCGCTTGTTTGTTTGTCATTTCTCCAATCACAGATGCAGACATGGTTTTATGTTAATACACAACATAATATTCTTTTTAGCAATGTCATATGCCTTATTTTTTATCATGTATAACTATTTATAGTGATACTCCAATCAGGATTTTTAGACATTTATTCAGGGCCTGAATTTAATTTTTGAAAATGGGGGGAATTCCCCTCTTAGGTGACCCTTGTGAGAGGAGAAGCAGCTTTCACACAGGAGTTCACTACTGATCTGTGGCTGTTTACCACAAACACAACATTTATCCATTATTTTGATTTCAAATCCA